GGTAGTGTTTTATGAATTTTGGTGGTTGATTAATGGATATCTCAAAATAATGTCAAATCATTAAAAAATTAGGTTTAATTTCATCTAATGATGAGAGGTAAGTAGTATACTCCACATATGTTATTGTCCTTTGTAGTCAGATGCAAGTACTTCACTATCACATGCACTTCACACACTCTCTATAAATTCACTTTAAAGCACCAAAGTTTTTTTCACAAATATCTTCTTTTGTTATCTCTATCATTTCCCTTCCATGCCCAACGAAGAAGCTTTCGTCTCCCAACACTCTCTTCTCGATTCAAAAGAGCTTGATTTCAATCACAAATGGAAACACTTAAGACCTCCAGGTTCATCACTGAAGTGGCTCCGGCTAAGTTGATATCGGCGACGAAAGAACCATTCAAGAACGTGCTGACCACAATCTCCGAAGAAGATTTTGATTTCAAAGAGTTGGTGAGAGCCACTGCAGAGAGACTCTCATCTTCTTGTCCAGAATCCTCCTCTTCCTGGTCTCTTGCTCACTACACCAAGACCAACAAACTCACTTCTTAAGAATATTTAAAATTTTCTTTATCCCAAAATGCATTTTCCTCTATTTTCAATAAAAGGAAAACTCAAGAAATTCTATAACTCATATGTTTCTTGGCTCAATCATTCATCAACCTTCAAAAAGAGAGCGTGTTTGTAATATCTTAATATGAGAGTTGTTTGTGTATTTTTTTTCATCTACTTAATTACTCCTTGTTCAAATATGTTTTTGAATAAACTATATATGATCCATTTATTTATTACAACCAACAATCCATTTATTTTACTGGAACGAAGCAACATTAATGTTTAAACATGTAACAAAAACAAATCCAGGAGCACTCTTATATTAATTTCCACAGGACTAATACAGTTGAGCGAAGTCTCATATATAAAGAAGGCTTATATATCATACAGAATGCATGAGTCCATGAGATATCAGTTTGTTTTTTTCCCTTTTCCTGTAACTCACTTTTACTCTCTTCCAAAAACGTAACAATAATAAGAAAGGAAAAAGAAATGGTTTCACGAGTACTTGTTCTAGCTAATTTCCCAGATACGATTTACGAGATTTTAAACTTGATTTTACATCTTCTATCAACCAAACCATATTAAGCCACAAAATGAATCAAAATAACACTATTCTAATGAAACATGAAGCTAATAGGTTAACAAAAAAATCCAATTTGTGCAAATACTAGCTATTATAATCTGACAATGAGGCAGAGAAACTATTATTGGAGAGAGCTTAGTGTAAATGTGTCTTGCTCTGCATGCATCTCTCCCACCCTATAGCCACAATCAGAGGCGGACCCACGGTCTAACTTTTGTGGCACGTGCCACATACTAATTATAAAAACCTAACAAGTGCAAGCTACATTAACTGTTTGTCCCGGCTTAGTTAGTTGGTCGGTTGAGGCTTTTTATGCCCTTGACTCCTTGAGGATGTGAGTTCAAGTCCACTGACTTGAAC